TAATTCAGAATAGCCATGCAGCTTGCTTTCTTTTTCAGCTAAGCAGGCAGATAAAGAGAGAGGCAGAGCTGTACATAATCCAGATCTTAGTGACGACATGTAGCCTTGTAAACTAGTCATAGCACCTGGCCTCAATACCAGCCAGTACACAATCACAAGAATACTTGAAATTTTGAAACTTGAAAAAGTAAAATTGCTCACTGTTTGTAGCCAAGGTTGAAGTAATTTAATTCCCTGACATTCTCCTAATTCAGAATTATTAAATTTCATAAGACTGAACATCAAGTTATTTTCCCTTCAGAATTTTTAGGCCTCCATCTACTAAAAATCTAACAGCTGCATTTATGGCCAATTCTTTTCCTATGTCCACATTCACAAACCTCAAGTAAACAGAATTGCTGCTCCTTCCACTATAACATGTTATAATTGATGGGAAAGTTTATGGCAGTATGTAAATGTAGACAGAGGAAAGATACCAATGTAATGCTTTAAGTTGGATAAACCTCTGTCTGTGTCCATAAAAACCAGAAGAACTGTGGATGCTGTCAATCAGAAAAACAGAAGTTGCTGGAAAAGCTCAGCAGGCCTGGCTGTCTCCCGTGGTCTAATTATCCTCTGACTTCTAACCGTACTTCATGCTTGGATTTTGGTTGCCAGAACATCATTTCTGTTTTTGTTGTGGGAATATTAACATCAATTTGAATTATGCAAGACCAGAGTTAGTTACAGTTACAAGACTTGATTGCAAGAACTTTCTTCCATGATAGACAATGATGTAAAAAATGCACACACTTCATAGCAGCATTCCAATATGCTGCAGCTTTGGAGTTAGACAACAGTGATACACCTATCACACAGTTCAGACATCTTCAAAACCTGTAACACATCATCGCCTTGTCACACACATGGTCTACACTCTACCTAGGAAATAAAATCATAGGAGATCTAAAACTTGTCATCTCATCCTACCTCTCACAAGTAAGTGGCAGCAGGACCAGGCACAGTTTCTGTCACTGCATTTCATGAAGGATGTGATTACACTCAGGGTACAGATGAGATTTAGAGGAATATTGCCGAACAGAAAGATTAGCCAGGAGGAAAGTTTGGATAATTCGAGGCTTTTTTGCTTGGAGCAGAGAAGGCCGAAAATAATTTTGAATACCTGAATTAAATTATGAGCAAACTAGAGACTCAGATAGGAAGAACCTATTTCTCTTAGAGGTCAATAATCATGAGGATAGTGTTTAAAATGACACAGTTAGAAGGATCAGAGACAAGTTGGAAATAAATAAATCACTCACTCAGTGGGCAGTCCAGGTCTGGAAGACACTGCCTGAAACACAAGTTGTATCACTGACAGCCACTTGCTGAGGTATGTCTTTTGGGATACATCGCAATAATATGTTAGCACTAGTATGTTGATTTCAGCTTTTACTGCATGTCGTTTAACACTTCAGGGCAAAATGATGTTAATAATTATAAAAGCTTCCAATTGCCTTACACCATCAACATGGTGTGAAAGTGTACCTCAATGTGCTTGCATTAAAGGTAGCCCTTTTAGGGCACAGATGTGGGGAATTTTATTCTCAGAAGGTTGTGCAATTTTGGGACAATCTGCATCAGAAGGTGGGGTCAATGAATATTTTTAAAGTGGAGGGAGGTATGTTCTTATTAGGCAAGGGACTTGAAGGTTATCAGGGATAGATGAGAACATGGAATTTTAGTCAGACCAGCCATAACCTTACTGAATGGGGAGCGGTCTTGAAGGGCTGAATAGCCTACTTTTACTCCTAATTTAATGTTTGCATGAAAGGATGGAGGGAGAAACTGACAAAATATACCTGGAAACATACTTGAAGTGCTGTAACGTACGTTATGGACCAAGAGGTGGAAATTGCATTGGGATGCATAGCACTTTTTGTTGGGAGATGCATTAAATGGCCTCATTTGCAATGCACATTTCTAATAGCATTGAAATTATTAACTAAACAAACTTTTCTTTAGTCATTGAGGGAAGAATGATACACAGGATACTTTGAAAAAATTTGAACTCAGTTTGAACGGTCTGGTGGATTTTTTAGCAATATTCTAAACCACTGGAAGAGTCAGGCACATGACTGTTATTACCTGACCTGTAAAAATAAAAAAGTCACCCAATTATGAAACAGCAGTTCTTTAATGCTGCTCTGGGGTTGTCTGCCAGATTGATTTCATACCTCCCGAAATACAGTTTTCATGTTGCCAGTGCAGAAGTCCAAACACTAGTTTGGTGCGAAGATAATGACGACCTCCACTCTGCCAGGTGACTTCATCACTATCTAGCTCTGATGAAATATCTCTGATCTGAAACTTACAATTCTATTTCTGAATAATGCTGTGAGATCTATTTAGTAGTGAACAATTTGTTTGGATTGCAGGTATCAGCAGTATTTGTCTTTGGTTTTAATGAACTCATCAGAATGTTGATTTGAATGCTGCCTTTTATAGTCTATTTTGAATGTAAAATTGAAAACAGAAAACTAATGCAATATAGTGACTGAAGTATTGAATTATTTGCTGGTTTATCAAGCTTGGGGTGAGGAGGTGAAATTATTAAATAACAAACCTGAATAATATTATCTTCACTCGTGATTTCTATTAATTCTTGACTTTGCTCCAAAGCTGTGATGATTGCACTACATGCCCTGAGAGACAGAGACACAAATGATGCTATTAAAGCTACACAGCAGTGAGCAGTTCATGCTGCATGCAACTTGTGTAAGCATCTCACTGAATCCATACAGTACACAGTATTTCCAAAGCAAAAAAGGGATAAAAAATATTTTTCTTTTAACGCTGACCTTCTATTATTCTTTAAAACATCAAAGGTGAACTTCACGCACATTTTGATATTAAAACAAGCTCTGACCATCAACCTGGGCATTGTTTTTGGTGATGAGATTTGTTGACCAATTATACACTCAAAGATCTGAACGAAATGGGCTGAATGGGAACTGTGGGGATTTCCCAGAAACCTGATATGAATGACAAACCTTTACACACTAAATCGGACTGAATTATTAAAGTAACACTCGTGCATACTATCCAACCCAAACAGCCCATGGAATAAGTTAATGAAGCAACTTGAAATACCTTAGCTTGAACTGTGCACGCACTTCTCCAAATTCCAGCTGGATCAGTTCATTGTAACAGGCAATGATACTGGGATTTTCAATGTACCACTGTAGAAACAAACAACATATCAACAGTGGCACTGCAGAAGCAAATACCAAATATTTCACAAGGCAAGTTAAATTAGCTAGCCAGGATAATAACAGCCCCATCCAGGATCCCAGAAAGAAAGAACGTGGAAAGTTATGAGGAAAGACTAAAGAAACAAGGGCATCCTTCAGTAGCTGAGCGGAAATTGAACAGGTTCAATATTAGGGAAAATTATTGCATAAATTGATAAAAGGCTATTTCTATTGTTTATAGAGTTGTGATTACAGACCAGGTCCTGCAAGCAAAGGGAATTAGTTGAAGCAATGGGTCTTTAACTGAAGACAAGCTTGGGGACATCATTCCCCGATGCATCCTCCATGGCAATGCTTAACCACATTCACTTGTAAAGCAGTCCACATCCTGGTTCTCTTGCAGTATAAACTGTTACTCCCTTTGAAATTTGGTCCATATGTACAGCTTCCACTGCATTTCTCTTCTTCAGAAATGTTCAAGGTCTGTTATCTAGCAATTATTTGCAAAAATGAATGATGAAAATAATGGCAGAGAGCAATTTTTTTCTAAAAAAGCTTATTTAGAAAGGGTCATTCAGACACAAACTATGGGTAAGAAGAATGGATGTATATTTGAAAAAGTATTAAAACAAGACTGGGAAAGCAGAGCGAAATTGGACTAAATGAAAACGATTCGAGTTCAGACCCAGAAACACACAAGAACGAAAGGAAGACACTTTGTGAATAATCCTACATTCTCATCTCCACACCAAAAACTTTCAGTCCTCTTAAAAAAAAATTTTTCTGATGCTCTTGACCCCAATGATGTTATTTGTTCTTTATTCTTATGTACTCTCCTTATGTTAAGGAAACATTATTACTAATTTCTCTTCCAACAAACCTATCAAGAACTCTTATCTGGCCAATTAGATAGTTAGAACGATCCAGATTTCTCTAAAGGAAATAAAGGACTTGTACAGCAAATAATAGGTTTTTTTTCTACCCATATTCTTAAGAGCAGATGAAGGCCGTTCAGCCCATTAAGCCTGCTATGCCATTCTATAAGATCATGGCTGATGTTTGTGGCACCAACTTTCCTGTCTGCTGCTCATACTGGACTCCCTCGTCCATCATAAATCTATTTAACTCAGCCTTGAACAAATTCAACAAGCCATTCATCACTGTTTATTTTTGGAAAAGAGGATTTTCTCAGGGAAAAATAATCTAAATCTCCACCTTGAAAGAGAGTGACCTCTTATTTTTAAAAGCACCTCCCTTAACTTTAGTCTTCCCTAAAAAGAGAGAAAACATCCTCCTGGGATTCACATCATTCAGGTTCCCCGGGATCTTTTTTGTTCCAATAAGGTCAACTATCTCTTCTAAACTCTTATAGGGCACAGGCCCAAACTGCTTAACCTGGTTTCACAAGATAAGTCCTTCTTCCCAGTTACAACTTGAGTGATCTGTTGCTGAACTGCTTCAATTGCAATTTTATTCTTCCCAATTTATACCCTCCAATCAAGCTAATGCAATCACATTTGTAATAGCAGCGTAACCAAATTCTGCGCTGACGGATTCAGAGACTTATTGACACTCCCTAGATATCTATCCTACCAACATGCAATACAACTGCTCCATTTAACACATTTTCTCCTTGTGGCTCATTACTCGGAAACCAGTGATTTTACAGTCATTGAAGAGACAGCCAGTATTAGGCAGAAAATACATTTCATTTTTAAGACAGCATACGGGGTCTCCCCATCGATTATCTTCAGTACAGTTTTGAGGCTATTTTGCATCTCCTTCCCTACAATACAACACCCTTTATAATGCTATCTATAAATAGCCAAATCAGAGAAAAGGGGCTGAAGGGTCTCCCACTGAGCTCTAAAATTAATTTAATGCAAATTGAAGAAAAAGGAAGAAATGTGGTTTCAAGGTCTCGATAAGGCGCTCTCAATCAGAATTTAAAATAATTATTTTTAAAAAGACTGAGTGCCATGACAGAGATGAATCATCAGCTGATTATTTCCAAGAGGTTCTTCACTTCTTGTTCAGCTCTCCCATATTGAATGATTGGATGATTGTCACTTGCATTTTACAGTAATACAATAAAATATAGTGAAAAGCTTCAACAGTCACCACAATCCAGTGCCATTTTGAATAGTTTAAGAATAAAAAGGACAAAATATATAACTGAAAGAATGACCTGAGCCAACTCACGAATGACACCTGCACCGCTGCCCGCGCCAGACCCACCAATGTAGGAGTCGCCACTCCTTAGATGCCATCTCTTTGCCTCTGGGCCCACCTCCCGCACACCATTGCCGATGCTAATTCTGGGTCCCGTGTGGAATCTATACTTGCCCTGCAACCAGGAGTCCCCAGCTCTGTTGCCACGAGTCCCGGCTCTGGGCATACCATGCTACCACTGCCTCAGCTGCCACCTTGCCAATGCCAGGACACTCGCTCTGGGCCCACTGCAACCAGGAGTCCCTGGCTCCACAACCAGGCCAACGCTGACTCGCCAAGAGTCCCACTCTGGTCACCCTCCCCAGAGATGCTGAATTGCTAGCGCTGCCATCCCAAAACATCTGCTGCCACCTGCAATCAGTGGAGGTGCTTTGCTGCTACTGCCAGCTCCGAATACCAGGAGGACATGCTTGCTTCTGCTCCAGTCGCCATGAGGAGTTGCATCAGCTGTTACCTCCGAGTGCTGAGAGGAGCTGCCACTCTGCACATGGCCCACTCTAGGTGCCACACTGATTTTGCTGACTAACCTGCCACTAAAGGTACCAAACAAAAACAAAAGTAAAGGAAAAAAGAAAAAAAGGAAAAAAAAAGAAAGCAAACAGGAACGGAAGAGCCGGCACACAGCCCTGCCACTCAAAGATCCTGCAGGTCTCTGGCAACAGTCACACAAGAGACAGAAACAAATTGGTGCCACATCCTCAGTTCTTCTGTACAACAGAAACATTTTGTGTACAACAACTGAGGGCAGGAGTGGAGCAAACTGGTCATGGCAAACGCAAATGGAAACGAGATACAGCACAACAAATGCAACAGATAAATCAGCACAGGGAGACTGAAAAAGGAGCCAAAAGTAACAAAGGAAACAACGTGTAAGGAACAAATCAAAATGTGCAACACAATAAACGTATAATGGGTAGGAACATTACACAGAATCTCAATGATCTAACTGAAAGACTTAGAAATTAAATTTTGACACATGAAGCTGGATTACACTCAACTATTGTAATCTCAGTTTAAAAAAACTATTGCCCAAGTTAACAAATCCTCATCAGTGCAGCTGTTAGAAACAAGGGTCCTCATTGAGCTTTTAAGAAAGCTTTTAAAGGAATCCCCACTGCAGGCCCAATACATGATCAGGATCATTTATACCTTTTGTTTTGCATTGAAAACTAATCTAGTGATCAGAAGCACGAGTGCTGTTTAAAGGATTTGCAATTCCCATAGCTGGGATCAATCACCCCATCCCGCTGAAAGCCAGTAACCTCCCCGTGCTCACAATCAGCAGCCAAAACCTACTAAAATATAGAAAAGTAAGCAACCTACCCGTGAGAAGCCTGCAGCAATCAGTGGCATCACGGAACTCTCCTTATGATCCCCTTGTCTAAGATGCAACAACAATGCATTTGCAAAATTAACAATGGTTTTGAAAAAAGTATCAATCATGACAATCTGCTTTAAAATGCAAATCTATGGGGATTGGTAGATTGTTATAACTCTCAATTAAAAGCAAATAACTTCTCTTGTAATACATTAGATCTTTATTTAGTCACAATAGCTACATCTTGTATTTACATAGATTCTTTCACATCCTTGGGACTTCATTGCTAAAATGCTGTGAAGTGGTTTTTGAGAAGTGGTTTTTGTTTTTGTTTAGGTCAATTATGTCGCTAATCTGCATACAAACAGCATTGACAAAAATATGCTGATATTGCAATCCATTTGAAATAATGGCTATTTACCATTTACATTTCTAATGACTGATGGGAGAAAATGCACTGGGAATCAAGCTGCAATATTCCACAATCTGTGCCAAAAGTGGACATGTTTTACTTAAATCACAAAAATTAGTTTTGCTTTAACACTGTCATCTAGAAAACGAGTGACTTAGACCAAGTCTTTCTTGATAAACTCAAAAGTAATACATTCATGAAATCTCAAAAACACATTCATATAGATAGAGGACACAACATTGCTTGGAGATGGATTATCACTCAGGATAAAATAAGCAAAAAGGCAACATCTATGTAGGTCAAGGGTTCAAGTGCAGAAGATAGAATGGGTTGATTTCTCTCAGCTCCTTTGATTGCCTGTCAATTACATCCAATTGCTATCATTCACAGGGAAAAGGAAGATGTTCAGACAGGAAACAGAGACCCTGATATTTGAAACTTGCAGAATTCCCAAACACTTCCTTGGGAGAAAGAACAAATCCCTTTCCTTGCAAATCACTTTAGTGTATTCCAAAAGAAGCAACTTGGTCCAAAAGTTGTTGTTATGCAATGGACAGCATAGACATTTCAGGGTTTTCCCAAGTCCAATAAACAAAGTAATAAAACTCATTTTTCTCTCTCTTTAAAAGGTTTGGTTTGTATTTTCCAAAGTCAACTGACTTTCGTAGACAGAGGCAATCCCCAGTTCTCTGTGGCCTTTTGAGTTCAAATCTTCCATTTCCCAAAAATGTGTTTCATGCATATACACTCAGAAATCTACTTCTGCACAAACTTTAGAATTATTTCCCTTACTTCATATACTTAACTCTTCTTCCTTCCTGAAATACCTTGCTTCACAGATCTCTGTATTAAAACACACCTGTCACAAGACACTATTTCTTAGAATTAAGCAAACTGCTCTCCAATCCTATTTCTTTGCCCCTTAAATTGACGCTGCCACCCCATCTTTTTCTGCTTCCTTAGCATTCCTGAACACCTTTAACAGGAATATTTATTGCCTGGTTCTGTCCTCCTTTAAAGGAAGTTTCTTTTATGGCAGTATTGCTCCATTCCCGCTTAACTATCTGTTTGCATTTTACCAACTCTATTCATCATGCTTTGATCATTTCCCTACAGACATTGTAAACTTAATTTCAACTTTATTATTTTTCGCTAACCTAATTCCACATAAAACCTATTTCTTACTCTAGTGTTAAAGGTCTTCCCAATTCTTTGTGCATCTTTTATCCTGGATCTCAAATCCCTCTCAAATTAATTAAATATTCCCCCAAGAGCACTATGTCTGGTGTCTCGAGTTGTGAAAGCTGGCAATATCTAATTAACATCCTTGTCATTTCCTTACTCCCCAGTAATTTCTCATGCTTCTACACCCAAAAGACTTCTTTTCACTATGGCTAATATCTTCTTTTTAGTGTACAAATACTTGTTAAAAGTACTGTAAACAGCCTTCACACTACTTGCTCAGTTTACCCTTGTATTCTAACTTTATCTATATCTTGGCAATGTTTTGCTCATTTTTTTTTTTAAAGCTCCTCCAACGCTCAAGCTTACTACTCCAATTGGCAACATTGCATTCCTGCTCTGTTAATGCAATACCATCTTCAAATTCTCTAGCCGTAGGTGAACTGCTTTTCCAGTTAAGCTTTTATTCCTCCAGGAAATGCTTACTTGTTGAGAATTATGAATTATATAAAATGTTTTGCATTGATTATCTACCATCATAATTTTAAAGCCAATTTACCAAATGCCTCAGCCAACCTGTCTTGCATATTCATCAAAACTAGTTTTGGATACAGCTATGAATTCTGAAATTTGATTATATTAAGATCACCGTGCCCCAGGATCTTTTACTTTAAAAGAATATTACCTGCAAAATCACTCAAGTCTATATAAAATATCCAGTCCCTAGTTTACTCTAGACATTGCTATGAAAACATTTTATATTTAGCATTGATTAGAAGACTTAAAGTTTCAAGGATTATGGTAAAATTGTTTCACATCAAATTTTGTGGAAATGACCAGGTGATTTCTTTTAAAAATAGTCACTGAAACCTAATTCTGGATGATGGAGATTTTATTTAAACAAGGCTTCCTGCAAAGTGAATGGCAGGTGGTAATGACTTACTTTGCTGTAGACCTTGCTGGGGCTGGTTTTGAACAGCGATTGGCTTGGAGATCTTGTTTTATTTTGTTCAGTTGCTAAGAACAAGCTGTCTAGCTGATCTATTTCTGAAAAGAAAACCCTCAACATCCGTTCAGGATGAAACCTTTGGATATTTTGAGAGAATGCTTGAAAGAAAACCTTTAGACTGTATTTCCTCAGCAAGCTGTGTCTGCATGACTTCGTGCAAGTTTAGTGATTTGGCTGTACATGGCAAAACATCAGATCAATGAGGAACATTCTACACTTTATCCTCTGGCTTTCAAGTATAACCCACAGCCAGCTTTCTTTTCTCCCCTATTTCAGAAAACAAAATTTCTGCATAGAAATCTATACATTTTTAACTCGCTTCTTGAAGTGTGCACATATTTGCATATGATTTGCAGATATTTAGAAGTATAAACATTTATTCTTCTATATTGACTGTGTATGCTAACCACCTGCATCATCAGTAATGAAGTTTTGTTTTGGTAACACATGGTGTTTAAGAAATCTGATTAATTGATTTTTTGTTCAAACCTGGTATAGATAAGGTATTTTAATTGGTCATCTTGGTAACTGGAAGGAGGATTATTTTTATTTCAGGTTGTGATCTGTGGAGTAGTGAGATTGTAATCCTCCAACCTCTGCCAGAGCAACATATTACTCTACAAAACAGACCTGAATATGTTCCATGAACTTGCTTTCAAAGTTACTTTTGTCAGTTTGATCTGCGAAGCTTGCATGAAGATTAGAATTGCCCAGGACTATTACATTACCCTCTGTTACATGCTCTTTTAATTTTCGAGTTTACACTTTGTCCAGCAATGTTGTTACAGATAGATTTGTATACTAAGGTTTGATAGTGATATTCAAATTCAAAAGCGTTTGATAATGAGAGTCAGGAGAAACTAGTTTTCAATAGGAAAAGAGCTTTTGGAATTTGGAATGCATGGGCGAGTGATAGAAGTATATTCCATCACAACTTTCAAAGAGGAATCAAGTAAAACAAAACTGCAGGACTGAGAAGCAGTAGATATGTGGAACTAAACAAAACATTTTCAAAGAACCAGCAACTGAATAATGGGTTAAACCGCCATCTCCAAACTGTTCTAACATTCTATGTATTATGGAGCATTAAGAATTTATACCACCTCCTTGGTTACGAAGTCTGAACCAGTTACTTTAATGAAGAATGCCTTTCTTTCAGCTCCTTTTCAAAAATTAAAATACTTACGGTCGTTTTGCAACAGCAACAATGACAGCATTTTCCGACGATTTTGTTGCTCTGATGGATCTACAAGCAATGGGCACATATATATTATCATATACAACAGAGACAGTGTGCAGATGAACAGAATCACAGTTGCACTGGACCACAGAAGTGGATGTCCAGTCATTAATAGAAGTAATAGTATGATTACTTGATTCTAAGGAAACTTTAATAATGCACAAAAAAAACCTGAAAATTTTTCATATCAAGCAAACCAACCTCTCTTTCCATGACTCATGTCTCTCAGACTTGCATGAATACGCGCGCGCACACACACACGCTACAGCGATTAAAAAGGTTATGAAAAGATGAACCAGTATTACACATCCGGTGAAAGGAACACATCTGTATTCCTGCAGATAAAAGTTTCAGTTTTGGGAAACACTTCATTCTAACAACAGAGCAAAATGTGCTAAGCAGCATCACAGGCTTTAAATAAAGAAATATCAGAAGTGAATTTAAATTTTAAAATTTAAAACAAAAGTATTTTCAAGCTATAACATTCTGGTGTTTGGAATTCAACAACTTATTCAGAATCAGAAGAATCGAACAGCTTTGAATTGGTGGCAGCAGGAATGATCCTGCATAAAGTGCTGAGTTCACGAATGATGAGCAATATCATGCATACAGTTTCTAAGTATTTGTCATGTAAGAGTGAGACAGTCACAGCCTATCAACCATCTTATTAAACATAGAGACAAATATTCTAGAAAGACATTCTGTTTCTCTCGAAGAGAAAAAAGGTAGATTAATCAATCACTATATTAGAGATTTAAAGTCAATTCACCAAGTGCAATTATCCAAAGTATTAAATGGTCTTCTCTCTTTTCAATTCCCAGAGGACTGATGCACATATCCAACATTTGTTAACTTTCCCTTCACCTGTTGCATTATTTAAATGCCAAAAGATTTCTCAAAGAGATGAAATTATTTCTGTAGCTGCCTGTTGATGTGTGACCCTAAACACAAATACTCATGAGGAAAGTGCTCAGCAGGATACCAAATACAAGTCAGAAACAAAATACTGGAAGTACTCACAGCAGGTGGAGAGAGAAACGGTTAACTTTCAGTTTGATGACCTTTCATTAGAATGTGAATATTTTCAGCATTTTTATTGCCATTTCAAATTTCCATCATCACATTACTTTGCTTTAGTAGTTGAACCAAAATCTGATAGCTGGCATCACCATCGTGAAACTTATTGGGCATAGCATGAATCAATTGAAACAGTGCAGCAACTCACCGACATAGTGCCTCTGCATCAAAATATGTGGAATGTCTATTATCTATGACGATGATCTCATGATTCTTGTCTAAGAAACATTCCAGTGCAGCCTCTGGTGTCTGTGCCATATTGCACTTGTACCCTGCCCTGTCACATGCCCACCAGAATCCAGCACTCTGGCTATCTTCCTTGGCAAACACTAGAAGTACCTGGGGAAGAGAAAATAATTCACAATGAAGCACTTTAACCGATCTGAAGTGAATGGCAATTCCAAAATTGGAGAGAAGAGTGGATGTTGCAAGTATTTCAACATCTAAAATAAAATCAGAAGGAAAGAAATTTAAAATGGCACAAATTTACACTGAATTGTCAAATTCAGACCTCTCAAGAAATTACTGCTTTAAAAATTTCACATTTTTCTGCCAACTCGGAAACAACTTGCACTCTGGTCTTCTAACAGCTAGGTCCAGTGAAGGAGCTAATATACTGTTCCCATCCACTGGGTCCTGCTCTCCTCATCGAGATCAACACAGGTCTGAGAACAGCAGGATGGAATGGCACAAGAGGTTTAATTGTGTTTCCTAACATGCAGTGATACCTTCCAGTTAACTATACATAGCACCAATTATCAGTTTTACATTACTACTTTAAAGTTAGTTGCAAGTGTCATTTGGCTGTATTTAAATGCTGCTTTCACTCAAGTCTCCATGTTCAAAGCCTAATCAAAGCAAAAAGTCTCTGGCTCACTCCAGCACAAATCAGACAAATAACTGAGACCATTACCAGGAATGTAACTTGGCCGAGTTTCAAAACTTTTACACATGGTTTGCATTCAAGTTAGCAATTCATCTTTTTACCTAAAATACAACAACAACTTGACCAAAATGTTGAAGTAACCTAACTAGATAAACTGGCCATGTGAATATAAGTTGTCATCCTAGTAAGGTGATCTGATCTTAAATACCTGTACAACGGCCATGTATAAACAGATCCTACAAAGCTAAACGAATCAGTAACACTTCTGTTCAGTTCAAATACTGTTTGACCCACAGATAAAGCCATAGGTAAATAAGCCACTACCCATTTATTTAATCAAGACAGCAGCAAATATTTTATGCAAAATGAGTTCAACTTCTAAAGCTGAGCTGCTAAGTACTAGCCAGACATAGCAGCTTTCAGTTGTTACATATTTTAAGAAGCTGAGACAGTTAGATTCAATTGCTGAATGAATGGGGCACTCTGGGCTTCAGTTTCATGCATAACACTGTTCACTATACATACAGCAGGAAGAAATGTATGGTCCAGATCATTAAACCTATCATGGGGACAGTTGAGTTACTATATCAGACATCAAAGTGAAGTACACCTGGATCAATTCATTATTTTTCCCCAGTGACAACAAATAGCAGTCATTTTACTACAATATTTATAAAATTAGAGGGACCATGAATTTGAAGTCCTGGTCACGTACTCATGCTGAACTTCAGGCAGAGTCTCAGATTCCTTCAATGGAATTCAAACAAGAGTACCAAATTTCAGAGCACTGGAGGTGACCAATTTTGACAACCTCCAGCTGCTCAATACAAAGCTTTAGTGCAGGAAGGCTGACCCTCTGCACATTTCTGAGCCATGCTGGGAGGATGGGGCAGGGGGGGTGGAGTGGGTTTGCTTCGCTTCAGAGATCCAGGCCCCTCCTTAACTCAATGCCCCCAGCCAGACTTTATGAACTCTTTCTTATCACAGGTGACCTTGGATGGCACATATTGTTCCAAGGATATCAACATTGGACTACTGGACTCCCTGCAATAGCCAAGGGGTCACAGGCAATCACCTACATGTCTTCTCTGATCACACAGAACCTGCCATGCCTTAATACTTTAACCCATAAAGCGTTGAACACAATTCCCTAGCATTCATTGCTAATTTACCTGTTGCTAATATGTGCATAATTGCATGGTTTTGGTTTCCACATGCAAGCAGGATATACTTGCCTTCGATACAGTTTATCAAAAGTCTATTTGACTTGTCACTGGGATGAAAGTGCTGTCCTATGAGAAGAGATTGATGTAGAACGAGTGTATACTCTTGATAATTTAGGAGAATATGGGGTGGTCTCATTGCAACATGAAAGATGGCAAAAGGCTTGACGAGATAGAACCTGGGAGATCATTCCATCCACACCCCCAGCTGGAGAATCTGAAACTCTATCCCCAAGTCTCATGATGAACAGCCAACCATTTCTTATTGAGATGAGAAATTTTTGTTCAGATTTTTTCTTAGAAATTAGCTTCCTCAGAAGTGTATGGATCCTGAAGTCAAAATCAAGAGTGTTTTGGATTCTAAGGGAATCAAAGGATATTTGTGTCACACAGGCAATGATTACATTAACAAAATAATTGAATCTGACTCAAAGATTCAACAACATTACTGTTGCTGAATTCCCCACTTGCATCACCCCAAGGGTTAGCATTGACTAGAAACTGAACAGGAGTAGATACTTTCTAATCAACCTGCTCAGAAATGTTATGACAAACCTTTGCAACATGTGAGGGGTGAACCCAGGTCACCTGGCTCAGAGGCAGGGTTACTCCCACCAGACGAGGCATATGAAATGCTGGCTTCAAAAGCAGGTGAGAAGTTGGGAATCCTGCAGCAAGTAACTTACATCCCATCTTCCTAAAACCAGTCCACCATCTACAAGGCGTAAGTCAGGAGTGTGATGGAATACTCTCCACTTGCAAGCAGCTCACTTGATTGGCACTAGCCAGCACATTAAACATTCACTTCCTCCACCACCAGCACACAACTGCTACAGAGTACCATATGCAAGGTTACCAGTTGTTACTTGCAAAGGCTCTTTCAACTTCACCTTCCAAACCTGCAATCGCTTGGAGGGGAACGTGCAGATAGCAGTATTCATTCCAAGGCCCACATCATCCTGACTTCAAGCTATACACCTGTTTTCACACTGGACCACATTTCAAGGTGGAAACTCACCATCTTTTCAAAGGTAATCAGGGGAAGCAATTCATTCCAGCCTTGCCAGTCACACCCACATCACACTAATAATTATAAAAAAGGTAAATCCTAACCCTATTGCATTTATACAAATAGAACGGATATAAAAAGGTATTCCTGATGAGAATGAAGGGCATACTACAGTTGTTATTGTCGATGTTGCATTATTCTTCTTTGCAATTAAGATGTTGGAATCTCTCATATTTTTAAATTTTATAATACATAAAAATGTAGCCAATTTTTAGCTGCACTCCCATTTTCACCAGTCCTCAGAAGCCTTTAGGTCTTATTTTTATTCCCCTGAGGTGCCAGCTAGAGCAAATGGAGCTGAACTTCCAATTCTTCAAAGACAATTATTCCTGGATCTCTCCGGCAAAATCCCCAGATTGAGCTTCAGAAGTGTCAAAGTTCAGTGGGATATCTCACTACTTGGACACAAATACCTGCAAATAAGTTCTGCAGAAAACAGCAACATGTACTGTCCCTAACACAAATACCCTGCTTTCCAATCCCTGCACTTTCAAATGGGAGCTCAAATCAATCACAAACTTGCAGAGGTTCTGCATTAAAGTCAAAAACTAAGTCAGTCACTTTGTCCAGGTGATATTTAATGCAAGAGGAAACAGCCCACACAAAATCTCAAATCAAAAATAAAATAAATCTTCCACTTTTTAACCTCAAAACTGATTTTAGTTGGAGTGCATTGATCACAACAATCAACATGTACTATCTATGCATAGAAGACAAGAAGAAATTACAGAATGCTGTTTATGGACACCATGCAATAAATCGCTTATATCAAATCAATCTGGATTATTGAATAATTAAACAAACTTGCAATCAGCATTGTGCAGGGCTGGATGAACACAGCAGGCCAAGCAGCATCATAGGAGCAGAGAGGCTGACGTTTCGGGCCTAGACCCTTCATCAGAAAAGGGGGAGGGGAAGGGGGTTTTGAAATAAATAGGGAGAGAGTGGGAGGCGGATAGAAGAGGGATAGAGGAGAGGATAGGTGGAGAGGAAACAAACAGGTCGAAGAGGCGGGGATGGGGCCAGGAAAGGTGAGTGTAGGTAGGGAGTTAGGAAGGGGATAGGTCAGTCCAGGGAGGACGGACAGGTCAAGGGGGTGGGATGAGGTTGGTCGGTAGGAGATGGAGGTGCGGCTTGGGGTGGGAGGAGGGGATAGGTGGGAGGAAGAACAGGTTAGGGAGGCAGGGACGAGTTGGACTGGTTTTGGGATGCGGTGGGGGGAGGGGAGATTTTGAAACTTGTGAAATCCACATTGATACCATTGGGCTGCAGGGTTCCCAAGCGGAATATGAGTTGCTGTTCCTGCAACCTTCGGGTGGCATCGTTGTGGTCAGCATTACTGTACTTTCTAATGCTATTCTGGAAATTCTAACCCATAATAGATCAGGCTACTTTGTTCTAAACAAAGCTCTGGGATGGAGTCAGATTTCAACTTCAGAAGCATATTCCTCTGCACTGTTCATACCTGAATGGGATCCTGGTGGATCTTCATTGGTCCAAACTGAACCTCAGTCACCGCTCCCTGCAGAGAAAAGAAAACACAAATTAAAATTACAAACATACTCATTTTATATACAGTTGCACATTTACAACAGATGTGTAGTGATTATAATAAGGTCAGCCAGGTGGACCTCATCGAATGCGAGTTCCTTGATTGGGGCTGTTAATCCGGTCCAATCAGGGAGCCCTGGCTGATAGATTACAAACAGGAGTGTTAGAGGTTCCGTTCACTCTGAGGGCTGGCTCGGGGGAAGCCGGATCAGTATCAAGGACATGTAAATAAAGAATGACTTGGTGACGGCAGACCAACCTCTATGGAATTCTCAAGATGCTGGCCTTTAATCTTTCCATGTGGGGACCAGACATAAAATCTAGGCAACAGGGAGAGAGAGCGATCAAGTTGCTTTTGGAAAGCTTAGGAAAAAAAGTTCTGTCCCTGGATCTTTTACAGCTGAAACGGGTACTGTTCCATTAACTGAGGTGCCCAAGGAAGTCGGTTCAGCCCCAGGCATGGAGTGCAGCATCTTAGCCTTACTTAAATTCCACCCGCAGCTGGACAAGAACTCATTTATTTTGAATCTACGTTGCTCAAATCCACTCCGCCACTTCTCATCCACTCATGGAGGAGAAGGAGGGGGACTTTACTCAGGGAAAAGGTTGTTGGGATCTAGTACACATCAGTCGAAAATGGAAGCACACAAATTCAAACCAAAATCATTGATAAATTACAACATCTCATTTGCCCACATAAGTGTGCTCACGCCCTGATCATGGAGTGCACAAAGCTACAGCAGAAATGTACAGAACTGCATCAAAATACTCAATTGCAAATATTTGGTTAAAATGCATACTCAAACATAAGTTAAGACAATTGCAAAACATAGGTTTACACAAAGACTGAATTATAAATACTTTCTTTTTGAAAATAGTCTGAACAGATTTATTTTGATCTTTAAATGAAAGCCAGTCCATGTCAGTGACTACTGAAAGTTCCTGAAGCAAAATATTTCAGATACTGGAAATCTAAAAAACGAAAAATGCTGAAAACACTTTACAGATGCTGTCCGACCTGGTGAGAGAGAAACAGAGTTCATGCTACAAGTTTACACCCTTTCCTTTAATGAAGAGTCAGTCACAGGCCTGAAGTATCTTTCTCCCTCCGTGGATGTGAAACCTGAATATTTCCAACAATGTTTTTTAAATAGAGGATTACAGACTAACTTTCATCTATACCATCAAAAAGGGCACTCAGTCAATTTTTACATAATTCAAATTTACTCAAACTGAATTAAAACTCAGATTGAAGCCACATGTTCCACAGAAACTAGATAGAGTGTTACCATTATCCATTTCATCATGCCTGTATTCCCAGAATGACCCAAAACAGTCAGAATATACACTGTCGTTGGAAAAGCCACAAAGTTACTAGCCTGGTGATATCTTAACATGGGTCTGCAACATGACATCATGACACTAACAAGGATAGGTTAAAAGGAGGTTACGGTGAGGATTAAAGAGAAATCATCTGAAGGCCTGACTGGGCATAGGGGTTTTCTGGATGACGTTGAGCCTGACAACACCATCTTGGAAATAAGAACTCCAGAACACCAGTGCATAGTGGACGTTTAGAGAGAGAAGGGTACAAGAAATAATCACGTTGGAATGGACAGCAAGGAGGAGTTCATGAGGCACAGGGGACCGGTGCAGTTTGTCAAAGATGGGGGTGATAGTTGTTCAGGCCTTTGTCTCTTGGGCATATCAGTGTTGCATTAGCTGAGGCTTAGGACAGTTTGAGATGGTAACCGTTTGAAAATTACTTAGTGATGGAGTGCTTCAAGGTTTTAGCAGTACAGGGGAGTGGAAAGTACTAGGCCAGGACGGGCAATGGCCTAGTGGTATTATTGCTAGACTATTAATCTAGAAACCCAGGTAATGTCCTGGGTACCTGGGTTCAAATCTCACCATGGCAGATGGTGAGGTTTGAATTCAATAAAAGTCTGGAATTAGAGTCTAATGATGCCCATGAAGCCATTGACGAAGTTTTCCTGGCCAAACTGATTCACTAATACTTTTTAGGGAAGGAAACTGCCATCCTCACCTGGTCTGGCCTACGTCACTCCAGACTGACAGGGATGTGCTTGACTGTTAACAGCCCTTTGGGGAATTAGGGATAGGCAATAAATGCTGGTCTACCCACATGCTGAGAGTGAATGATTAAAAAACCACTGCAGCTGACCTCAACCGGAATGCTGCAGATGCACAACTGAAAGCAAGGGTTGGCTGAGCAGTCAGAGAGAATTGGCACAATAGTTTACAGCCAGCACCATCAGACTAGAATGGTTAAGACATGGGGAGAGGGGGCAAACTAGGCTGTGCTAGTGTAGGAACTTCACACGGCTTTGCTACATTAAATAAGTGATGAACCAACCCAAACTAATCAGTTCAAATGACATTTTAAAACATTGCCAAACAGACAGCAGAGCGTCACTCACTGACACAGCTGTACACCAAGGTTATTAACCTTTAGTGTTAAACTGCAACACAGCCCTGACCCCCACTGAGTTTGCTCAGCCTGCATGTGTGTTTAAATTCAAATTCCTAGCTGCTAGGGGACTGGCACAGGCCCAGCTGCAATCACTTCATGCAAGAGAAACAGATATTTCCACCATGACCACCAAAACAGGATGTTCAGTGCAATTATCAAGCGATTGGCCTAAGTACAGACAGAATCACAGGCTCTCTACTAATGCTCAGATTCAGCAAATTCAAAGTTCAACACACCTACAAATCTGAGGCATTCTTGGTTTCTGATTGTAATAATAGGTGCACAAGAACAGGAAGCAGCCATTCAGTCCCTCAAACCTTTACCACCTTTAAATCATGGTTAATCTGTATTTAATTCCATTTACTTAGCATGGTTTTGCAACTAATATTTGTTTTAAAAATCTAATCTGAGTCTTTTGGCTTTTAGGTGGAAGATTTGGAGGTCTTGATTTTAGGGCAAGAGTGTATCCTAACATCACCCTGAATGATCTAGCACTAACATTAGGGCTGTTGCAACTTGTTCTGAACTATCTGAGAGGAAACAGCTTTTGTCAATCCATCTCAACTTTTTAATCATTGCTAATACGTCAATGAGATCACACCTGCATTCTGAGAGCCTAGTCTAACACAAACTTTACTTGTAATTTCTCTTTCCAGCTCCATTTCTCTGGTGAATCTATGCCACTCCAAGGTTAATATTCAATTTCTTAGCTTCAGCAGCCAAACCTGAGCACACTCCACATGGGATCTGACTAGTTTTTAACTGAAACAATTTTGACACTTAGTTACAGGACTGCTCATGTAGCCCTGCACCCACCAGCTGTTGTGAGGTTCTTATTCTGCTTGTATCTTCCTTTTACTTTCATAGAATCCCTACAGTGTGGAAACAGGCCCTTCGGCCCAACAAGTCCACACCAACCCTCAGAGCATCCCACTCAGACCCATCCCCCTGTAACCCACCTAATCTACAAATCCCTGAACAGTACGGGCAATTTAGCATGGCCAATCCACCTAGCCTGCACATCTTTGGACTGTGGGAGGAAACCAGAGCAACCGGAGGAAACCCACGCAGACACAGGGCGAACGTGCAAACTCCACACAGACAGTCGCTCAAGAGTGGAATCAAACCCTGGTCCCTGGCGCTGTGAGGCTGTAGTGCTAACTGCTGAGCCACTGTGCCACCCAATCCTGGGGGATCAGTGAGTCTTTACGAGTGGAACTGAGTAATGGTGATGTTTCCTTAAACAAGAACGCCACTCCCCCTCCTTTCTTGCTTCCCCTTATATCTTTCCTATAGCATCTGTGCCCTGCAACATTGTGCTGTTAGTTCTGTCTGTCGCTCAGCCATCTTTCCCTGTCCCATGTTCCCATCCATGCCCTTAGTTCATCTGCCTTACCTGTCAGGTCTCTTGCATTGAAATAAAAGCAGTTTAATTCATCTGTCTTCCCTTGTTTCCTGACATCCTCTTGCCTGCTTTGTCTCTTTAACTTGATCTCTAACTTCTGTACTAGCCTCAACCTTCTCTTTGAAAAACATTTAAATTTAAATTTAAACTGGTCTAAAATCTCACCCGTATTACAAAGACATGACAACTTTTAATACATACAAAATACATACAAGACTACACCACAGAGGTTAACATTTAGTTCAGGGAGAAATTCACATTCAAACCAAAAAAAGATTTACTACATCAATAAAATACAAATAACAAGCTTCTCACTTTATTACAAGATTATTATTACAAGATTATTATTATTACTACTTTTCCTTTTACACAACCAAGCTGGTTACCTTCTGACCACTTCCTTCCAGTTTCAGGTTTTTAAACTTTTGTCAAATCTTTTATAGGAGTGAGATACACAAATTATTTTAAATATACTAGCAAAGTACATAGTCATGATATGGGACTTTGCCTCCAGTCATTTGGAATATGACCAATACATTGTTTGAAGAATCTCCCTTTTAATTCCAATATCCTAGGTTCCAACAGAGAATGATCTACTTCCTTGTGGATTCATTTAACTGTTTGACTGGGTTCCATTCCTTCACTGTGTCAAGATCCTAGAATTCCCTTCTTAATGGCATTGTGGGGCAACCCACTGCAGGTGGACTCCAATGGTTCAAAAAGGCAGCTCACCATCACCCTCTCAAGGGCAACAAATGCTGGCCCAGGCAGCGATACTCATCACACAAATGAAAAAAAAGTTACAGATTCAGCAAAGTTCCACACCCAATTCATCAGTCACTAAAGCCAAGATCCGTGCTCCAGCCCATTCTGCTTTAACCACTGTTCACAGTGCAATCACCACTGAACTGGGGAAACTAAACACAGATCAGCTGACAGTTTTGTCCAACACTGTTCTTTCCACAAGTGTAACCCAAAGTTCCCCATCACGTATTTCCACTTTTCATTGCAGCTCTGATCTTTAACAGTGCTCCCATGAAACTCATTGTTTCCCCAGCTTTTAAACAACCAC